GTGTGTCTTATTTGACAAGCATCTTCTCCTCATATTGATGTAGGATGAACACAAGGAGAGCTTAGGTCCTGCTGGAGGTTTATCGTCATTATTATTTTGAAAGGGAGATTTCTTCATGTTAGCACTAGCAACCAGATCCAGCCAAGTATGAGCTGTAGAATATCAGAAGAGGGTGGCTACATACCAAGTTTGTGCCAGAATGAGCCAAAGTCTTTCTAAATACCCCATTTGGTCCTATTCCACTGCATGTATGTGTGAAAACAAGACAATTATAACCACGTACCGCCTCTTTAAGGTATAGTAGTCAGTTCACTAATGCCCAAAGGTGAATGTCAAAAGCCTTGCCACTGCTGCTGACACTGCTAACTGCCAACAAATTGCACTGTTGAAACTGAAAGCATTACGTACATTGCTTCTCTGATCTTCTTTTTTTGTTTTGCTCTTCCTTCCTTGACCCCCTCATCTTCACTCCCTCAAGGCCTCCTGTTAGCACGCCCTGAATACGCACGCGAAGCTCGCCATGACATCGCCTGGTGCATCGTCGCCCAATACCATCGTTTTCGATGGCAGTGGAGATCTCTGGCTGGCTTTCGGTTCCGTTTCATCTTCTAAAATCCTTCACGTTGACTCCAACGCGCTCTGCCGTGCCTCCAAGGTCTTCCGCGCCATGCTCAGGGGCCACTTCAGCGACTCCAAGCCCGCCAACGACCTGCATCGTTGGGAAGTGAAGCTTCCCGAGAATGATCCAGAAGCTTTTGTTGTTCTAATGGACGTCGTACATGCAAACTTCGGCCATGCGCCTTTGAACCTAAAGCCTCAAGAGCTCTACAACATCTGCGTCTTGACCAACAAATACGACATGACCAAGACGCTGCGGCCTATGGCGACAGCTTGGTACGAAAGGCTCAAGAGCATGTGCCAGCGCAGTAATAAGATGCAGGCATACAGCAAGAATCTATTCGTGGCTTGGGAGCTCGGATGCCAGGGCGCAGTCGAGTAGATGCTTCAGGACATCGCCGAAAAATGCCACGTCGACGAGTTCGGCAGCTTGTTGATCGATAGAAATACTCGGCTGAACAACTTGGAAACTTTCAGACTGATTCCTTTGATCGGTAAGTTAAGACGACTTTCGATCTGGCCACAATTATCTAATCCCGAGTCTATCAGATCCTATTACTCAACACCGCGTCAAGATACTCCAAGTCTTCCATGCAGAAGGCAAGGAGATAGCAATCAAGATTCTCGCCAAACGCCCACTCTGTTGGCATACCGGCCCTTGCTCTGCTGTGAACCTTGCAGATGGCATCCCCGAAAAGTTCATCCAAGCAACACAAGACCTTGAGATAGATTCTTTCTTCATGCCCTCGTTGAATGCCGACCAACTTGGATATCGAGGCAGCGTGTCAAGATTGCATCGCCTGTTTAAACAAGTCGAAAGGCTTACATTTGGAGAGCATCACCCTCACTACTGGTGCGCACCTTTTCAACGGAGCCCATTTTCAAGTATCCTTTCGGCGTGCTATCAACGACTATACTTGATATTGTCTAGCCGCCATATGGACATGCTCGTGGGCCAAGCATGCAAGATTGACATGACGGCGTACATGGGCAGTAATGACAAAGCCATTCTGGAAGATGAAGACAGTGGAGATGACGGGAACAGTGGTTTTCGAAGCCTGTCGGTTGAAGCTCGATACTAACCAATATTCAGACTGATGTTGATTCCCTGCGTGGCAAATGGTGCTGATTCCTAGACATTTGTTCCGAACCCGATCACAGAGAATAAAAGAGCCACAGGGGAAATGAGGGAAATACCATAGACAGCCTAGTCATCATGTATCATTATAGCAGCACTGCCTATTTTCCCTTGGAATCGTATCTCGCACGAATAAATTCCTCGTCACCTTCATAAGCGCTATGTACTGTCCCTCAGGAAGCAAGAAAACACCGGACCTTAATATAGGATATCAAAATAAACTTAGCAAAGAGTCCACCAAGTTTGGGCTATTTACCTAAGCATTTTGTATCGCTTAGGGTCAAGGTCTTAAGTTTTCTTTCCTCTCCTAGGTAGCCTGTGTATTGTGTCCTATCGCTAATGAGTCCTTTGGTAAATTTCCTAATTAGGCCGTCCCGTTCACTCTCACTGGCCAGCTCCCATCACCCCGCTTTCGTTCGACATGGTCTTATTCACTTAAGAAGAGTGAATTAAAACGAGGACAATGCCGCACGAATATTGTCTCTTTTCGTTAATAATTCCACTATTGGCCAGTTACTGAGCCCTGGCTCTGCCCTTCTCCTTTGTAAGCCCCTTGAGGCCTCTCTGTCTCCTCTCTCACCTTTTCGCTTCTTCAACACCAGCACTATGGCTCACTACTCCCAACGCAAAGACATTCTACCCCTCACCGGCGGCTGCGCTTGCGGTCTTATCCGTTACCAACTTGCTCTTCACCCCCTCATAGTTCATTGCTGTTACTGTACTACCTGCCAGCGTCAGACAGGCTCTATTTGCGCCCTCAATGCCATCGTAGAGTCCACCGCCTTGACTCTTCTCTGTCCAGCATCCCCCACTATCGTTGGTTCTTGTTCCGCCCCGGACCCTATCCCCGCTGCTGTTCAGCCCGCCTTTGCACGGCTTACATCCGCTGAGTCAACTACACGTGATCCTCGCCCCGAAGCCGAACCCTCGTCTGTGTGTCTTCCTACAGCATCTGGCGTGGGACAGACTCTTGTCGGGTGTCCTGTGTGCCACACTGGTCTTTGGAATTTCTACGCAGATGCTGGGCCTCATCTGTCATATGTTCGTGTTGGTACCTTGGACAGGCCCTGGGACATCCAGCCGGATGTTCACATTTATACGCAGAGTCGTCAGAGTTGGGTAACTGTCGACGATGGGAAGCCATCGTTTGATGGTTATTATACCAGGCGTGAGGACTACCTAAGAGGTGATGCACTCAAGAGGTATGAGGCGCTCAAGCCACAGGTTGCTGAGGTGAAGGCAGAGCTAATGGCTGGCTGGGAGTGAGTTGCAAATGAAAGTATGACAACCATAGGAGAATAGCACAATACACATCGACAATTGTTGCACGTATTGTTTATAGCTGCGCTCGAAGACACGCAATGTCATTAACGCCATTATCATTATAATGCTCCAAAGCAGAAGACACAGCTTCTGTATTCAACCTCAGCCTCAACCAATTTGGTATATACACAAGAGATCACGCTCAGTGGCCCATCGCCCAGAACCTGTGCTGTGGCCACGATGGCTATGAACTTTGAATTGCATGCAGTCCTACTCCATCCGTGATCACCTATCCGCTTGCCCAACAAAGACCCGTCCCAACGTGTGCCCCTATGGCAGACTAATATATGATATATGTAACAAAAAGAAGCAAAACAGACCGGTTGTTGCTCGATAACGCCTTAAAATTGGATGCCATATACAAGTATCGTTGAAAATCTCCAACAAATGAGAAGTTCACTCAGAGCGACCTGAATCCATACCAGGCCTCTCATATCGCAAATCTAAGCCCCTGGGACCGGTTGTATGCAAAGAAGCCGTGAAATCACCTCAGTGATGTATGTTTGTGCGAAAGCAAATATGGTCATGCTCATAGTGAACACATGCAATAAGGCAAGGGAATCATGAGTGTGAAAGAACGTATTGCATAATGTGTAAAGTGCTTGGAAAATGAGCTTGTCTCGGGTGTCACAGCCTCTAGCCGCCAACCTTACGGAAGCCCTCCACTCCAAGGATGGGTATCTCAACGTCGCCAAGGTTTTCCATTCCCTCATCGCGACGACGCTCAACAAAATTGTTGCACTCAAAAACAACCTGCGCCCACTCGGCGAGCGAGCGCCCAGTATAGACGGAATTTTTGACGTACAGGCCGACTGGCTTAACAGGATCCACCACAGCATCTGTGAAAGACCCAGTGTTCGAGTTGGGCGACGGTGCCGGTGACGGTGACGGCGATGGTGAAGGCGAGGGGCTGGCTTTGATACTGGGTGTTTGAGGGGATTGGTCACTCAGGCTCGGAAGCGTGACCTCAAGCTTCCAACTTGGAGGTCCATTTTTCTCATCAGTTGGGCTCAGTGAATTTGCGTTCCTGGCATTATCGATGAGTCCTTGCTGGGGGCTGCCAGAGAACTTGCGTGTTGGCGCCGCATATCCAGCTGGCACAGTAAAACCGTTGACTCGTAAAGGTCCACTAATGCGAGTCTGTGCTGGGCCGGGAAGTCGAGGGCGAGTCAGGAAACGATCTCGAAGAGGTGCTGCCTGTTGTTGCCAAGCAAGAATAAACTTGAATACATACTTTGGCTCCTCGTAGGTTGGCTGGGAATACAAGGAGTCATCTTCAGATGGACGGCCCTTGTTATGATTAACATTAGGGTTTCTATTCGTTTGAGCAACACCGGAAGAACGAGACTCTGCTGTCTCACGACGGACAGTCTGGAAATCATCGTCCCAACCAGCGCCTGCACCCGTATTACCACCAAGAGAAAGGACTTTTCCTAATAGTGACCATCGTTTCCTTCCGTCATTCCTAGACGGGTCAGGAGGCAGGCCATTCAGAACGCTTGTTTCGCTGTTAGGAAGTTTCGCGAAGGAATCAAAGCTACCCATATATAGTCCAGGCTGGGGAACATTAATCTCTTGGCGAATGATCATAAAACGTTTACCGGGTGCGGGGTTCACGGGTGCAGTTGAAGGGGGGATTCGCTGTTCTTGTTCGGCGGTGTGCTTTACATGCAAATAGTGAGACCACGTCGTCTGAAGTCGCTCAGCTACAAGAGCGAAGATTTGGCTATTCCGAGTTAGCAAGCATCACAAAAGCGAGGCGAGGGCGCCATACCCATCGACTTCATCCAGCGTTCCCGTATCTCGGCACATGCGCCAGCACAGCAAACGCTGGTAGTAAGCCCGAACCATTGGGCACCAGTGGTTGAAGAACTCATTAAAAGTCTCCTCCGTGAGGAGCCAGTCCTTGCATACGGCCAATTTGCGAACGGGGTCCTTGGAAATGGCATCCCAGATGGAGTACACCAAGGCCAGCATTCGAATCTCAGACATGGTGTTGAAAGAGCTCATGACTTTCTGGCAAACGTCAAACCAAAATGCCCAGTCAAGATAGCTATTCGAGCAGTCAGGATCCTCAAACTCGCTATAGAGCACGAGAACTTCCTCCAAGAAGTCGCACAGAGTGAAACAAGCAGGATGGTTGTATTTCGACACCTTCCGAGTCGCGGCTTTCATCATGGTTGCAAAGGTCTCCGCAAATGTGTGACGAGCGCCGGCGATCTCGATTGATTCATCTGAAAGGAAGTCTTTCAACAGCATGATGCATCTGTTTTCGGACATGCCTCTCATAACGTTGCTCACAGGGAGCGGCAGAGCCATTGCGGCATCAGCACCCGACATGGAGTCCATCGCAGGAGGAGTAAAGCCACCGTCCATTGGAGACTGACGGTGGACTGTTGTATCCAGAACGTAAAGAAGCTGAGCTTGAACAAGAGCAAATGCGGGAGACCTAGCCTTTTCGAGGAGAGGCAGTCCAGGGGGCATGAATTGCTCAGAGAGTATATGGAAATATTTGCAAAAGATGAAAAAAACATCAGTGTCTCGGCCTTTCCAGCGAGCCGCCCAGGGACCTGTCCAAGGAATTCTAGACACCAGCATAGGCAATCTGGGAACCTTCTTAAGGCCATCCCACATACTCTTTGGTGATGTCCAGGCGAATACGCCAATAGTTGGAGGGAACAAAGCAGCAATATCATCGCTCTCGCCTTTGTTCTTTCTCGGAAGACCAAGCTCGTCAGCTACTCGTCGAATGAGTTCAGGGGAAAGTCCCCAGAGTCTGATCAGGATATCTGCAACGCCGGGAGCGAAGAAAAATGCGTAGGCGCAAGCCTTTCCAGCAAAGTTAACCAGGCTCACTGGGGCATGACGGAGCGAGAGTTTTTCAACTAAAAAAGCCATTTGCTTGACCAAGTTGGAAACAAACATGGTCCTGACATTGTGTTCGGCTGACTCTTCTAAGAAAGCCGCTTGGCTCGATGTGACAGAAGAGGCGGAAGAGGTGGTCAGAGATCGCGCTCGAACGCGCTCAGCCGGAGATCGGTTGATGAGTGGTAGGAAGTATGATGTAGCTTGTCGCCATTCGTGTCGCGTCATGAGAAGTGTCGCGGCATCAAAAAGAACCGGACGATCAACACCAGGGACAGGCTGGGGCGCCTGACCGTCCAGCATTTCCAGGATTGCAATCCACCATTTGTTCAAAATTGTCGCCCTTCGATCGACATCTTCGGGGTAGAGCTTCTTGGTGGACTCATGATTCATCGTGTTTCGCAGGAATGGGAGAAGCTGTGTTTGAACCTGCGACATTCGCTGGGCTGTGCTCTTGGCAAGGAATCCCTTGAAATCCATGTCAATGGCCTTGAAAGACGACCAAAGGACATCTCTTTGTGGAGGTGGCATCTCGATGGAGGACGATTCATCGGTCACGGTTGTGGCAGAGGTGGTGTCGCAGGTGGAAGATTGCGGCGTACGTTCTTCCGCAGCGATTATCGAAGCTGGCGCTGCGAGACTCGTCGCCGAAGAAGCGCAGCTGTTGTCCGAGTCGGTGCTGGTATTGAGCTTTGACAAGCCAGCTTGTTTTGATTTGAGCTTTGAAAAGTAGCCGCTCGCTCGTGAAAAGGCTTT